CTTGTGTTCCCTCTCTCGCTGTGTCTCTCTCTGTCAAATAAATAAAATCTTAAAAAAAAAAAAAAAAAGAATACTTGCAAATCTTCTGAACTAGTACCCCTTCCATTCATTCATCAGATATTTAAGTCTCTGTTGAAAGCGGAGGGGCCGTGGGTAACAGCTGGGACACCTTCTGTAGGATTCCTATCGCTGGCTTAATATGCACAAGGGGTTATGGCAGGTGCTCTGGGGGACATGGCGTGAAGACATAATCTTAAAATGTCTACATTATTAAGATAGGTACAAGTAAACCTAATACAAGACATGAAGCTATAAGAATGATATGTACAAAGTTTCACAGGAATACAGAATAAAGTCCATTTACAACTGGGATGATCAGAAAGAAGGTGGGATTTGAGGTGGACCTTGACAGATGATCAAGGTTCCAATAAGCAGAAATGGAAGAAATGGCATTACTCCAAACCAAGAACATGAGTAAATACCAAGAAGCAAGAAAGTACCGTGAAAACAGTCATTTACTTTACCTAAAGGATAAATAATGAACAAAGTTAAGGAATAAGGTATGGCCACTTTGTAGAAGCTGTGAATAACAGGATGAGAGCCTGAACAAAAGCAAGGTCTGGAAGTGACTACCTGTGTACAAATCCTGGCTTCTTCACTTAATTGCTTTGTGACCTTGGGCAAAGTACTTAACCTCTCTGCTATACCTCAGTTTTCTTGTCCATAAAATGAGACCAACAGAACCTGTTTAAAAAGACTGTTGAATTAAATAAGTTAATACATATCACGTATTAAGTCCAAAATAAATGATTATGTAGTCAATAAGAAGTAAAATGATGCTTAAGCAGAGGAATAACAATATAACTAAAGTGGTGTCTCTAAAGGAAAGTCATCTCAGAAGATGGAACAGGAACATGCTTCATGGCTGGTACCACAAAACCACTCCAAGCAGGGAGTACTTTGGACCTGACCTAGGGTGACAGAAAAGGGGGGGAAAAAAACCTGAGGATCTGTACTGTGGGAATCTGGCCAAGCTCCCAAAGTATATGTGGAGCAAACTAGTTTTGGTCCAGCAAACACTAAAATTACTTGGCCCCTAGACTCCTACTATAAAATAAGAATAATAGTCAGAATTTGCTAAGAAAAAAATTTTCATAAGGACTAAATATTTTGACATAAGGATACTGAACCTGACAGCAATGAGAAAAATGCATAGTGCTAACTACTGGTGACCCAGACATGGATAAAACAGATACGTGTTTCTCCTCGTGGAATTTGAAGCATGTTCCCTGTGGAGTTCAGATGGTATTCTTTGACAAGACAGTGAACTCTTCATGATTCTAAAAGAGTCTTTACCCCTTTGTTTCAAACCTCTTGTATTTTAGAGATACATTTTATTATAACATCTTTATAATAACTAGAAATAATTTTAAATAGGAAGTATGTGATTGAAAATTGTGCCTTGTTATCTGTTCTTACCGTATTATAATTTAACCAAGAAAGTTGAGAAGAGTGAAAGCATATGTATTAAAGTAAGGGAAATGTACAATTCACCTTGTAACCATTTATAACACCTTATGTAATTTTCCCAGACTGGTTTATCATGTAACAATAAAGAAAGCTTTTCTAGGGGAAAAAAAAAAAAACCCTGGGGAAAAACTATTGGTAGCTAGCCTCCAAGATGGCTCCCTATCATTCCTACCTTTTAGCATTCACATCCTCTCTAGTCCCCTCTCACACTGTACCAGGTTGATCTGTGATGAAGAGAACAGGATGGAAGAGATGATATGTCACTTCTGACACTGTTATAAAAGACACCAGGGCCTCTTTCTTAGCCCATCCCTCTCTCTTTCTCTTCAGAAAGCCAGTTGCCATGTTGTGAGAACTGCCCTATGGAAGTGGCAAGGAACTGACCCTTGCCAACAAACAGATGGGTGAATTTAGAAGTGGATCCTACAACCTCAGTGACCCTTTGACTGCCACTTGTAGGAGACCCTGAGCTGGAACCAGCCAGTTGACCCATTCCCAGATTTCTGACCTTCAGAAACTATATGAAAAAATAAGCATTTGTTTTAAGCTGCTTCAGTTTTGAGATAATTCGTTAAACAGCAATAGATCACTAATACAATTATTGAAAAGAAAAACTGATAAGTTCCTGAGAGCCTCAAGTCAAAAACTAAGAGTTCTAAGTTAGGATGTAATATGAATGCCTGACACTAAATTTTTCGTTGCCAAGGCATCCATTTCAGAAGACATCATCTTGAATAAACATAGCACCAGTTACATGACAATTACTAGCAGATCGGCATGATAAGGAATTAAGCCGTCCCTCCCTCCTCATGAAGGTCCCGCTTTCAAAACACCTTTCAAAACACCCTCGATAACCTACAGTTAAACCTACATAACTGACCATTTGAGTGACCCTGCTTCTTCCTTCTGGTGCCCTAATTCCCACTCTTAGGCTTTAAATTAGCCAATAAAGGGGCGCCTGGGTGGCTCAGTTGGTTAAGCAACTGCCTTCGGCTCAAGTCATGATCCTGGAGTCCTGGGATGGAGTCCCGCATCAGGCTCCCTGCTCGGCAGGGAGTCTGCTTCTCCCTCTCCCGCTCCCCCCTCTTGTGCTCTCTCTCTAATAAATAAATAAAATCTTTTAAAAAATAAATAAATAAATTAGCCAATAAATAATTAACCTCCAAAACCCTAGATATCCCACCCTCAGACCCTAATAAAATCAGACCCCAAGTTCTCTTGCTCTCCTTCTCCCCCAGCCTCCCTCAACCTCGCAGTGTGGCCCTTGGGTGTGCAATATACCCTCCAGGACCTGTGAGTAATAAATCTCATTCCTCAAAGTTCCCTGATGGATTTTGCTGAAGTGCATCCTGCAATCATAATAACCACAAGGTCTGCTCAGCCACAACAGTGGCTCTGGTTGGGAGAAATGGCTTGCTACAAGTAATGTGGGGGCCCAGGCAAGTGCCTCAGGCATTCCTAGCCAAGCATCACATTGAATAGGATGAGACCAACACAACGCAAAAGAAACTATTAGGGCTTCGTGGACTAAGGATACGAAATTAATGACTTCATGATACACTGAGTTTAAACTGAGCCCAAGGAAAAGTCAGCTATATAGAGTGACAGCTAACATCAATCTATGAGATTGCAGAGAACAAATTTGTAAAAAAAAAAAAAAAAAGCACCAGGTCAAAAATTAGAACATGGCAGCAAAAGAGTAAAGAGAAGTAAATAAGGGGTGCCTGGGTGGCGGCTCAGTCAGTTAAGCATCCAACTCTTTGATTTTGGCTCAGATCATTATCTCAGGGTTGTGAGACTGAGCCCAGAGTCCAGCTCTGCACTCAGTGGGGAGTCTGCTTGAGATTCCTCCCTCTCCTCCTGCCCCTTCCCCCACCTCATGCACTCACACTCTCCTCTCTATATAAAAATAAATCTTTAAAGAGAAGTAAATGAGCAGATGCAAGACAGGAAGAGAATCAGGATAGCAAGTCAGGCACACTTGGGCCCCTCCTCAGAAAAAAAAAATTAAATAAAAGTAAGTGATGTGTCAAATGCTACAGTGACCATGAGTTAACAATTTCATGTAATTCCTTGATTTTTTTTCACATTTGAATATTTCTGGAATCAGAATGTGTCTTACAATCAATAGGTATGTTTGACATAGGTTTCTTTTACTCCCTATCATCAGTTACAAAATTCACAGTGTCTGACAACTGATGATATTCCAGAAGCAAAGAAACATAATAAGCAAGTTAAACCTGTATATGTGGGCTATTTTTTCAAGAAGGTTTTTTTATTTTTGTTTTGTTTTGTTTTTCGTAAAAGGAAAAGGAGTCAAAAAGGAGGCACTCAGAGACATCTGGGTGGCTTAGTCAGTTAAGCCCAACTCTTGATTTCACTCAGGTCATGAGATCAAGCTCCCCTCCCCGCTCCCCTTCCCCCCCCCCCCCCGCTCCCCGCCGTGGGCTCTGCGCTGAGCATGGAGCCCCCCTTAAGATTCTCTACCTTTCCCTCTGCTCCTCCCCCCTGATGGAGCGCTCTCTCGGGGGAAAAAAAGAAAGCACTGTGTTTGCTTTTTAAAATTTTGTTTTAATATGATGAGACAAGCATATCTGTAAGCAAGGAACTTAGAAACAGCTTAAAAAGGTAATGGACACGTGAGTGCCAAGACAAACACAACTCACGGAAGAAAAAGATGTACTCACAAATACAGGTACAATCATCTAAATATCATTAATGCAAGACTTCCTTTACACGTACTCCGTGTCCAGACACTGTGGTATAAGTTGGTATACACAGTTTGGCAGCGGTTAGCTTTAGACTCCTCTCCCACTGACGCAGGAATAGAAGATTCAGAAACAGTTTAGAATAGAAAGGAAAAGTGTGGCAACAGAGATCTCTGGGGAAAAAATGGTACATCCATTCCAATATCTACCGCTGTCTTCGTGTGTACCGGACAGTCAAAAAGAGACAATGCCAAACACTAAAGAGCGTAAATATATCTCACATGCTAGTTCCAGATTCAACTCCTGTTGCTCACTTCCATCACCTCTCCGGCTGCGACCTCTCGCCTTTCCCAGAGAAGTGGCTCTACCCTCCGCACCTCCAGTGGTTTTTCTCCCGGCCCTCCCATCCCACCGGGAAGGCGCGACCCCGACGGCCCGCGGAGGCCTCAATACGCACACCTGTGCAAGAGACCGACCTCAGAAGAGGCAAACAGCGACGCGGGTTCTAGCCATGCTCACCCACGGAAGCTGCCGCAGCCTAGCCTAAGATCACCGTCTACACAGCGCCCACCTCTCACCCCTACCAGCCTGAGGCCAGCCACGCGCTCCTTGAGCCCCGTTTGCCCGGCCCATGGGGAATAGAGAGGAGTGGGGACACACTGGCGCGCGGAGGGGGAAGGAGGAGGGCGCTCCAGGGCGACCAGCAGAGACAGCGCAGACCCGCTTGGCCTGACGCGGGTTCCCAACCCAGAACTTACTTACCTTCCGGCCACTAGAGCTACTGCTGCGGGACATCTCCAGGTACACCGCCTCCGCCCACGCGCTCAGGCTCCCCAAAGGCGCGCTTCTTGCTCAAGGCGCCGGAAGGCTGCGCGCCTCCGAACGCTCAGGGCGCGTCATATCGCGCGCTGCAATTGGCGGGCGCTCGGGCAGGGGGCGGGGCTTCTCCGGGCGCCCTGCCCTCTCGGCTCTTTGCGCCACGCGTGCGTTGCGATTGGAGGACCTCGGATGTGGGGCGGGGCTTCTCAACCACTCGACTGCACAGAGTTAATATGGCTGGGTTGTGACCGGAGTCGTCCGTGTTCACCACCTCTGTGAGTACGCTGCTCATGGCACTTATCGCTGAGGCTTGGGATTCTGTGGAGTGAGCTCTGGGAGGGCTGCATTGCTGCCCATGGAGTTCCTGGTTGGGGAGCTGCTGGGCGGGTTCTTGGGGGGGGTCAGACTCCAAGTGTTTTTCAAATAAAGTTCTTAGGTGGTCTGTTTTGTCAAGCAACAACTGACCTTAAATAAAAACTCGAGGGGCCCCTGGGTGGGTCTAGAGTTATCACTAGGACCAGTGGTCAGCTGACACCCAGAACTAATAATGAGCAGAACCAAAGGAAGTCTCTGGGGGCCCAAGACCTATTAAATCCCTTTGAAAAGGGGAGGATTTTGGCAGCAAACTGTCAGATTTTTCAGACCTGACCCCTCTATGTCTGACCACTTCATTTTTTTTTTTTTTTTTAAGATTTTATTTATTTGACACACAGAGAGATAGAGAACACAAGCGGGGAGAGCGGCAGGGAGAGGGAGAAGCGGGCTCCAGGGAGCCCGATGTAGGACTCGATCCCAGGACACTGGAATCATGACCTGAGCCGAAGGCAGACGCTTAACCGACTGAGCCACCCAGGCGTCTGACCACTTCAAAAAGGCAACTGCCGCCCAAGGCTCAGCGGGATTGATCTCCACACAGAACCGAGATCCTTCACTGCTTGAACATAATAAGCAGTAAGTGCTGAGAGCTGACCAGACTAGACAGAGGCCCTATCTCAACTGCAGTGCCCACAGACTAACAGCGTTTGGTTCGTTAACTTCCTACACCTTTCCATTATTTTTTTGTTGTGTGGTTTGTCTTATGCCCTGCTCTGTGTGCTGTGTAAGAAGCCAAGTATAATCAATCACATGGTGAAATATCATTGAGTTTGGAATCCTGAACCTGCTTTATAATTGTGATTTAACTTTGCTTTATGATTGAATAAAGCTTGACATTGTGAAAAGACACAGCTCGTGTGTGTGCCTTCATAGCATGCTCATGACAATGGCTGTCAGTTAAGCCTCCAACTGTTGATCTCAGCTCAGGTCTTGATCTCAGGGTGGTGAGTTCAAGCCCAAGGCTCCCAGTGTGAAGCCTACTTAAAAAACAAACAAAAAAACTTTGAAGTAGGCTACAAATTCGATAAGCAATACTTAAGGAATGGTTCTAGCTGCTCAAACCAAAAGAAAGGAGTGTTCTTTCCCCATCTATTGAAGTGGGGGTAGGTTAGGTATCCAGAGCAGAAATTCTCAAATTTAGGACAATTAAAATCACCAAGGGGATTTGCAATAACAGGGATGACTAATTTCGGATTCTGTAGGTCTAAGGTGGTGCTAGAGAACTTGTATTTCTGACAAGTTCCCAAAAGTTATTTGATGGGGAGAACAAATGTAAAAGACATAGAAAAAAAAATTAAACTGCTTTCCAACGTACAGCCATTGACAAGTACTTGAGACAGGCAGGAGTATAGCTGCGTCGATGTTAATACTTTGCTAGATAGAGGCAAAAGGCAACCTTAGCTTAACATTAGCCTAACCTTCAGGATCCTAAGGCCATACCACCCTGAACACGCCTGATCTCGTCTGATCTCGGAAGCTAAGCAGGGTCAGGCCTGGTTAGTACTTGGATGGGAGTCTCCTTTAACCTAAAAATTCCTCGGGAAAGTTCCTTTATCTCGGTCCACCCCCCAAGATATATGTTAGCAATCATCCTCCAAGCATATCGCCCATGATACACATCTAAAGGGTCTCATGACAAAGGTTTTACTGGAGAGTAAATGCAGTAAATGACCTTTTCCTAACAACAGCTAGCCTCTCTAGGTCCTGGAAACCTTGCTTCCAAATTTCTGAGAGACTTACACTATCCCTAACTCACTCCCAACTTGAAAGTATATAATCAGCCATACCTCACAACCCCAGCACAGCTCTTTCTGCCCACACGTCCTGTTCCTATGCTTTAATAAAACCATCTTTTTGCACCAAAGACATATCAAGAATTCTTTCTTGACTGTTTGCTCCCAAACCCCAACATTTTCACATCAATATTGTTGATGCTGGTCCTGTAACTCACTTTGGGAAGTAGAGGCAACCACCATTTCTTAGATCCCACAAGTGTCTCAGCACTTTGAGAAGTAAATATAAAACAAAACACAAGGGGAAGAGGAGCTGGGACTGAGTAGAAACTGAATTAGATCATGAAACCTAACTAGGTAGGAATATTCTATAATAAAAGCGTCTGTTGTAGAAAAAACTAAAATGATGATTTAAGCAAGTTGAGAAAGTGTCAGCCTGGGGAAGAGAAAAGAATTCTTTATTGTACCCTCAAAAGTATAGTGGAAGTGGAGTTTGGTCTTCTGCTTCAATTTATCCATTTTCCCTATACATCTGCCATTGTTACCTCAATTAGGCCTTATAACACAGTTTGACCATCTTATTGCATCTCTGCTTTGGCTCTCAATTTTATATCTACAATCAGACCTCTCCATGTTGCTCAGCTATAGCCCCTTAACACTACCTGCGTGTCATTGCCACCTGAATGTCTGAGAAACTCTTCAACCTAAATTTTTCTCCTCCCCAAAAATGATAATTCTCCATCTCAGTAGTGGCACTGACATCCACCCAGTAGCTCATGCTGAAACCTGGGATTTTCGTGAACATTTTTGTCTCTCTTATCAAAATCCGGCCTGTCCCACCTCCCATTTATAAATTTCTCACCTATCCACTCATTCTCCACTGCCACTACCATATTCCAGGCCACTAATTTCTTTTGCCCAAACTACTCAGTAGCTTCTAACCAGTATCCACTAATACAGTCCTGCCCCCATCTACCATATACATAGAATCCATTCTCCATATACACATTCCAGTGATGTCTACGCTGTCCATATTAGTCTTCCTTTCAGTTGCCAAAGGTACCCTGGGGCCTCCGGGTCTATGAATCTGCTACTCCATTTGCCTGAAAGGCTCTGGCCTTCTTCTGCCATGTCACTTCATACACAGCTATTGAAAATTGTTGACCCTGGGAGATAGGTACATAGAGATTTAATATATTACTACTTCTACTTTTCAAACATTTGAAAATAATTTTTAAAATTTTAAGTTGGGGGCGGCTGGGTGGCTCAGTAGTTGAGCATCTGCCTTCAGCTCAGGTCATGATCCCAGGGTCCTGGGATCAAGCCCCGCATCATGCTCCCTGCTCGGCGGGAAGCCTGCTTCTCCCTCTCCCACTCCCCCCGCTTGTGTTCCTGCTATCGCTATCTCTCTCTGTCAATAAGTGAAATCTTTAAAAAAAAAATTTTAAGTTGAGATTTTTAAAAACTAAAAACAGAAAACAAACAAAAACAAAAACAAAAAGAAACAAACAAAAAACCCAGAACTCGATCTTAGTTTCTCTGAACTCTCAAAGCTGAGCCTCCCTGTTCATTTTTATGGACCCTATGCTTCTTTGAAGGTGTTATAATAATCATAATCTAAAAATTATAATTATCATCTGGTTCCACCTCCACCAAAAGGTAGTACCATTTCTGTCTTCTTGACCTTTATATCCCCAGCACTTAGCACAATGTCTTCCATATACAAAGCACTCAAATATTTGCTTGAATGAATGAATAAACTAATAATTATTAAATAATTATTTCTAATAATTTGTTGAGGTCTCACAGCTACAAAGTGTTTAGGATTAGAACTCATGTGTGACACCAAGGTCCATGTTTTCTCCATTCTACCATTCATAAAATAGTATAATTATGAGGAATTTTCAGTTGAACAGAGAGGCTTAGCAAAAGTCAATTATCCATAAGAAAGATAAGCCTGTGCTGGAATGCATTTTTGAATATTTGTCTTGTCAACAAATATTTGATGCCAAAACATAAAAACAAGTGCAAAAACTTTTCTTTTAACTCTTTTCTCATCAAACTTTTTGGCCTAGTTCTTGTTTTGCAGATATCTGGGGTTTTTTGTGTGTGGTTTTCACTCTGCTTACAAGGATCCTAAGCATTCCATAAAAGGGCCAGTGGAGTCTGTGATGGGGGCAACAATCACAACAGATCTCTACGATACCACCAGGGCAGCTCTTCTTCCCTCTGTTTTAAAAATAGGTTGAGACTTCATATAAAGAAAAATATAAGGGTGAAATGTTTGAAATCTACTAGTCTATATCCTTTTCTAGCCTAGTAGTTAAGAATGCAGTGGACTGCAACTGAAGCCAAGATTTGAATGTGAAAAAATGAAACTGTAAAGGTATCAGAATAAATAATAATCAAAATTCATTTACAATCTTGGGGGGGTGTTTCTAACTATGACTCAAAATTCACTATTCATGATAGAGAAGATTGATATACTCCTCATGATACAAAAGATTGATATACTCCTCATGATATAAAAGATTGATAAATTCAACTGTGTAAAAGCCTTAATTTATGCATGGCAAAAACTACAACAAATAAAGTAAAAGACAAATGACACAGTAGGAAGAATACTTGACACTCCTCTCATGTAAAAAATACTCCCCTAAAGTATAAATTACTCTTGAAATCAGGAAAAGAATGACCAACAACCCAATAGAACATGGGCAAAGACATGAAGCGTTCAAAGAAAAAGGGACACAAATACCCTTTATATATATGAAAAATGTGGCACCTCGTGAGAAATACAAATTAAAACTGCACACTGAAAATATTGGTTAAAATCTAAATATTTGATAAAACACATTAGGGTAAAGGCATTCTCATAAACTGCTAATGGAAGTACAAAATCGTAACACTCCTATCAAGGGGAATTTGGCAATATTTTTCAAAATTACAAGTGCATTTATGCTTTAAACTA